TTGTGGACACTTCAGGAAGTTGGTAGATGTCTCTCACATAACCCCACATATTTGGATAGTCAACAATCCGCTTCTTGTTTGTCTTCATTGAGAATATAAAAAGGTTTCTTCCATTTTAAGTACAGGGGCAAAAATAACAGGAGAATATTACACAGTTAAGAGGACCGAGTGGCTGAGTGGTTACAACGTCCAATAAGATGATGGAGTTTCTCTGTTGGGGAGGAAAATAAAACAAATAACCTCTAACGTCCATGGTGACAGCGCTAGCGTAAGGCTCTAAATCCTCAGGCTCAAGACCCCCTGTTTAGCTCTCCCTAAAAAGTTGTACACACAGACAGTAGTGAGAGTTTTAATTACATAGTTGTTACACAATTATACTTAATAGTTTGTGACAATGTTCAATGACAGTTGGATAGACATATGTATAATGGAGTCGGTTAGTGTTCTTAGAACGAAAACAGTTGGACATTTATTCTTAGACTGCAGACAACTGGTCATACTTATATTGTAATGAGTGGGTATAGGAAGGTCTTATATTACTTGAACCCTAGTTAGCTAATTTGGGTACATGGAGGTCTTATATCAAATGTACTGAGTAGGCTAATATGAATACAGGGAGGTCTCATATTATGGGTACTGAGTGGGTTAATATGGGTACAGGGAGGTCTCATATTACTGGTACTGAGTGGGCTAATATGGGTACAGGGAGGTCTCATATTACTGGTACTGAGTGGGTTAATATGGGTACAGGGAGGTCTCATATTATGGGTACTGAGTGGGTTAATATGGGTACAGGGAGGTCTCATATTACTGGTACTGAGTGGGCTAATATGGGTACAGGGAGGTCTCATATTACTGGTACTGAGTGGGTTAATATGGGTACAGGGAGGTCTCATATTACTGGTACTGAGAGGGCTAATATAGTGATATAATATGTTAACACTTGGACATAGTTGCTCATAATGTTCTTTGTCTACTCTTTAAAAAAAAAAAAATGTTAATCCCCCCAAAAAGACACCAAGTAAAAATGGCTTTAATTCTTACAATAGCTTAAATTTTGTTGTTCCATGTAGTGCTTCAAACAAGGTGGTTCAAGTAATTAATTTTGTTTAAAAAAAAGAAAAAAAACACACTACAAATGGGAATTCTGCAAGATACTAAAGTAGAGGAAGTTGCATATAAACTGTTGTAGTGACCACTGGGAAAAGCCCGATTCCTTTTGTATTCTGACCATATGTTAAAAGAGAAATTATTATGCTATAGAGGGGATTCCTAGGGACTGAATACAATACAGAATGCAACAAGGAAGCTCAAAGATGGTAATGGTAAAGACACACAAAAATACAATTGTATGGCTCAACTAAAGTCCTTATCCATCAAGTACTAAGTATAACATTGGGTAGTTGAAGAAGAGATGGGCAAAGAAGAACCTGGAATGACAACATCAAGAAATGGACAGGACTAAGTTATCATACACTTATCCATCAAGTACTAAGTATAACATTGGGTAGTCGAAGAAGAGATGGGCAAAGAAGAACCTGGAATGACAACATCAAGAAATGGACAGGACTAAGTTATCATACACTTATCCATCAAGTACTAAGTATAACATTGGGTAGTCGAAGAAGAGATGGGCAAAGAAGAACCTGGAATGACAACATCAAGAAATGGACAGGACTAAGTTATCATACACTTATTCATCAAGCAGAAGACAGAGAAATTGTGGGTTTTATGTGCTAGTGCTTCCATCAATACACCTCCACAAACCTAATGGGTCAAGGGTTATGTTATAACTGAGGGGAAAACTCAACAGAGCCTGTAAACAGCCAAGGACAACATTAAACCCAGAAATCTGAAACTGAGCTAATGTTTTTCAATTTTTGGTGCATTTTGTTTTTCAAACGTGTTTGTTTTAGTGTGCAGTTTACCTTGAAATGAGTATGGTAGACAGTGTCAAATCGAATAAGTGTTGTAAAGAGACGAACATCAGCTTCAGTTAAGTTCTTTCCTGTTAGGTATCGCTTTGAAGACAGGATCTGTTCAGCCTGCAATGAGAGCATTCAACCAAATTAAATTTTGCTAATCTGAAAAAAACCAGGAGGAAACCAAAAACACATGCCTCTGTCTTTATTTCCCAGTGTTCCCATGTGGGTTTCAGGGCCCCATTGGGGTGGGGTTAGGGGGGAGAGAACAGATCCACTAACCCCTAATAAGGATGACCTCAACTAATTAAGAGGCTGAATGTAAACCACAATACAATGTTCCAACTTCCCTTTAAGGGTGAATGAAGAGATCTGTTGATCTCTGACAGACAGTCAGTGGATAAGGTAGACATTTACCTTGTTTTTCATATTCAAATACAGCCTTTGTTTTCTATATTCAAATTCAATCTTGTTTTTCATATTCAAATACAGCCTCGTTTTCCATATTTGAATACAGCCCTTGTTTTTGACATTCAAATAAGCCTTGCTTTCCACATTTAAATACAGCCTTCGTTTTTTTTTTTTTTTTTTTTTAATATTCAAGTATAACCTTGTTTTTCATATTCAAATACAACCCACTAGATCATAAACTATGAACTGTACACTAGGCCTGTATTATCATCATCCTTTAGTGCCTTTCATCTGTGGCTTAGTTGCTGCGAATGTGATTCAAAATGCTGCGGTGCCAAGTTTGATCCCAGCTGTGGATGATTTAACAGCCCAACATCATGCGTTGGTTTTGACAGTAGAACTGACAGCTGACTCTTCAGAAAGCAATGACAAAATTTGCCTAGACAAACCCCAATAGCCACAAAAATGCTGGGGTTGGTTCTGCAACATCCTGTAAAGGATAAGCAACTAACTTTTTAGTGCCATTATATGCTATATAAGGGCTTGGTATTCTTTTTTCCATTCTGTTGTTTTGCACAACTGTTTCAATATCATGAATGGGATCCAGTCTGGACCTTAGGCCTCTTTGACCAATATTTACCTTATTATTTCTTGTGGATGTCCTCACCTCCTCAGTCTTTTTGTTTTCCATTTAGGTACCTTTTGTGTGTGTGTGTGTGGGAGGGGGGGGGGGTATTCTCTGTTAGCTTTTTCTCAGTATGTGTCCAATATTTGCCATCTTCTTTGTCTCATAACTGTTGTTACATGTGATCGCCCGAACATTTCAATTTTTTCTTGAATTCATCAGTTTCCTTAAATATTTGTTTTTGAACATATTCAGCTTTAGTTCCACGAGTTTAGTGGTTCAACTTTTACTGGCATGACGGAACTGATACAGTTTTAAAACCAATATGACTGTTAAGACTACAAATCATCAAGTGAACAACTTAATGAGTCATCAATATTGAACAAAAAAGATAGGAAAGTAGGATTATCACTTGCACTTTTCTCTTTTCTACTAACCTATGTATGTAAGAATACAGTCAGGGTATACATATTTGTGTGCTACGCGATGAGTTGGGCGAGAACATAGGTGACATCAGTGTGTGGCAATGTGTACGAAAATGTACAAGCGTATTTTTTTTTTCATATTAGACAATATTGCACATATAATGTGTGTTCAGTCTTCATTAAAATCTTTATTACAATAGAAATTCCACATATTTTACTATCATAGTCATATATCACTATTTCTTGTGTAACTAGTCGCTTTTGATATTAGCTCTCTCTGCATATGTCAAGGCAGATGCAGTGGATTTCTTTACACATTTAAGACCCCTCCAGTCAGCAAAATGTTGTGTCTAGTCTTTCTGCCTATTCCCCTCTACAAAACCCTGTAACGTTTTTGAGGGACTGGTAGATCCTGTTACATGCTCAATTTCAGTATACAACATGCACGGGTTGAGTGATATCATAGCAGTAGTCCGGGTTTTAACTTTACTGTGTATAATAGTCATCCCCATGTGGGATGCAATTTTTTGTTTTTTAAAGCCCCATCCTGGCTTTTGCCGGGGGCCCTGAATATAGATGGGCCACAACTCTGGCCATAACGGCTGAAAGAGGTTTCTGGGACCTCTCCACGGTGATCCTCATCTGCATGGTGGAACTTTGTGTCACCTGGTGTTTATCGCTCGTGTGATGTCCTGGTGGGGTACTACAAGCAAGCAACTTCACTATATTTGCCATATTTGCTCAATTTTGTGCCAGTAAAAATCACATAAAATGTTACTCACTGTCCCATTTGAAAACTAGAGACAGTACCAGCAAAATCCTGAAACGTGCACATGCTGCTAGATATGCCGCCAACAACAACAGCTGTTACCTGAATTGCAGTTTGTCACTGATGAAAGTAAGTAACCATTTATGATGAGCTGGCCATACACACTCAAAATTATTGCAAAAGAATCTATATAGTAGTTTATATAACAACAGAATGAAACAGAAGGGGTTAGGTTAACAGTTGGAGTAGACTAAATTAGTGACACAACTGGCTTGAGCACAGTGGGACCATAAAAAACGTATGAAGAATGGGTTGTTAGTGAAAAAGTTCATTGTTCATTTAAAGATTATCTTCATCGCACATCGGACATGAACATAAATGCTCCGATCTCCTCCTGAGAATGCCTCCAAGTGTTTTTAAGCTAGCAACTCCTATTCTGTTCTTGTTGATGTAACGATGGGTGGCTCCCGCGTGGTTTTCCTGTTTCATGGCTCCATTTGGTACACGCAGGGTATGCAGTCTATCCAGTGAAAAATTACTTTCCATTAAACTAAAATCCTCACAGCGTTTAGACTCTTGTATGGCAATGATGATGTCTCTCCTGTCCAAAGATGGCCCATTCCTGATAGTCACACTTCCGACCAGGGTGTCTGCTCTCTCATTGCCTTTCACACAAGCTTGCCCTGGAACAAAAATGAAGGTGATTTTGTTAAACGCTGTGTGCTGTATCAGATGGAGCCACTGTTTCCGTAAATGCCCCGCCTTCATAGTGAAAAAGTTAAGCATGTGAATATCAAATCAAGTATACCAACTCTGCCTTCTCCTCTGCCATCATTTTGATCCCTTACCTTATCCAGACCATTGAAGAGATCTGATACTGCTGCATTGTAGGCTTCCTGAGATTTAGCAAAGCCACTCTGATAGACACCATTATTGATCTGCCTGTTAAATATATAAGAAAATATCAGGTCTCGTCTAAAACATCCCTCATGTAGGTTCCGGGGCCCTATTTGGGGTGGAGGGGGAGCCCACCCACTACCTCCTAACAAGTATGTCGTAAAAATACAACTAATGGGTGTCTCCTTTGAAGTCCTTTCCTGAGAGACGAGGAACCAACAGCCACAACTAAGCCAGATCAGTAAAAACATATGTGCACTCAAAATTCAGTTTTGGATCATGACCGAACTTTGGATATGGGAAAAACAACCAAATTCCCCCCCTCCCCCTTCATCCCCCATGGAGTTTACAACAGGTAAATGCTAAGAAGAAGAAGAGGAAGATCTACAACATAACAAAGTCCTGTTTGTATAGCAGTGGAAACAATTAAATACTCATTTAAAATACACGAAAGTTCTGTCTGAAACAGCTCCAAAATAGTATCAGGTTGAAGGTCCTTTCCATGTCTTCAGGGATTATAGGGGCTAGACCTAAATTTTTATAAACCATTCTGCACTTGGTGGGAGATGTGGTCAGCATCAATGACCTTAACTCCCAGGTCAACCCAGCCTTGAGTGGGTATCGGGTGCAGTCCCGAGAAGTAAAGGACAGCCGGCGTGATGCTGACCACATCACCCATCTTGTGCCGATTGGTCTATAAAAAAAAAGGTCTAGCCCTATATGCCCTATAAGCATAAAGGCGTGGGAAAGGGACCTTTACTTTTTTTTTTAACTCATGTTAAATGCGGTTTCCGTGGCTTAGGCATTGCGATTCCGACTCGAAATTCCAATGTACCACGACGAAACCCACTGCTGGGTGCGTGAATTATCACAGTACGGGACGTCGCAGGTCGACGCAGCCTAAAATATGTATCAGGATGTATATCCTGGGGAAGTAATATATATAATAAGAAAAAAATGACCAGACTTGTGACAGTTATAATCCGCTCAAAATTTGTGGCAACCCTATTCCGGAACTCCGCCTAGGAGATGAAACAGTCCTCCTTTCGAACAGCGTAAAGGGAATAGAAAATTTAATATTGTCTGTCCAAAAGCACAGTGAAGATCAAAATCTGTTCTTGAATATAAAGAAATATTGGCGAAAAGCAAGTGTCCACAGATAAAACTGGCTGTCACCCAAAAATAACAATAAATGATGAAGAAATTGAAAATGTCACAAACTCTGAATATCTAAGCTCCATAATAAACAGCAATGGAGACTGTTTAACAGAAATTAAAAGGAGAATGGCCATAGCAATGCAAAGATTGAACAACCTAAAAGTCAATGGTTAAGCACCAGCAAGGAGACAAAAATTAGAATTTTGAGAGCATGCATCTTTCCTGTGGCTACATATGGATGTGAGTCGTGGACTATCTCCATGTCCTTAAAAAAGAGAATAGAGGCTTTTGAGCTGAAAAGCTATAGAATGATTCTCAGAATATCTTGGACAAAGAAGAGGAGAAATACTGACATCTTAAAAGATCTGAACATCAAGGAAGGTTGGCTAATAAACAGCATCCTTTCTCTGAAGCTGAAATATTTTGGTCATATCAAGTACCACGACGGATTGGAAGAAATTATAGCAGAAGGCATGGTACCAGGAAGGAAGGAAAGGGGCCGACCGACACGAAGATGGGTACAGGACAAAAGTGAAGTACATAAGGGTGGAGAACTGTTGAGAGACCGAGTTTCTTTCAGGCAATCTGTGATGAGAGCGACATTCTGCAAAGGACCTGCGACATGATGATGATTATATATATATATATATATATATATATATATATATATATATATATATATATATATATATATATATATATATATATATATATATATATATATAAATATATATATAGAGAGAGAGAGAGAGAGAGAGAGAGAGAGAGAGAGAGAGAAGAAAAGAGAGACAGAGAGAAAGAGAGAAAGACAGACAGACAGACCGACCGACAGACAGACAGACAGACAGACAGACAGACAGACAGACAGAGATCAATAACATGCACAAACAGCTGAAGACTCCATTCCGCTTATCAGGAGATATACAACAAGAACAAAAACCTGCACCAAAATCTCAACTGTCAACATACAAGAGTACAGACATACTACAACCATCATTTTGAGAAGTAAAGACATAGTGCAACCACAATGTTCATGAACCGAATCAACTGCAAGAAAGGTTGACGTGTACTTTACAAAATACATGTGCACTGTTCAAATGTTACAGTAAAGTACATGAGAACTGCTAGCAAAGAATAGTGCACTGTACTTTAGTGATGTCTTTCAATCCTTGTGTACTTTAATGGAGTTTCCTAAATCCAGCTCTTAATCTCTATTTTTTTTTTCCGTGGTCATTTCTGTAAACAAAACCTGGCATTTTCACCTTTTTGTAATGGACGCGAAGAATTCATCTCGTACGGGATAAACAGGTGACACCTGAATTGCATCCAGGCAGGCTGTACTTCTGATGTGCTAATTCAAAGGACAGGGTTAGAATGATCCCTTTATGCACAGAGAAGAGGCAGGTGGTGGGGGATGTGACAGGATGTACAAATATTAAAACTAAAGAAAGAAAGAAAGAAAGAAAAAAGAAAGAAAGAAAAAGAAAGAAAGAAAGAAAGAAAGAAAGAAAGAAAGAAAGAAAGACAGACAGACAGACAGAGACAGACAGACAGACAGACAGACAGACAGACAGACAGACAGACAGACAGACAGACAGACAGACAGACAGACAGGACAGACAGACAGACAGACAGACAGGGCAAGCAGAAACAGGAAGGAAGAACATACAGAAAGAAAAGAAGAAGAAGAAAAGAAAAAAAAGAAAGAAAGAAAGAAAGAGAAAGAAAGAAAGAAAGAAAGAAAGAAAGAAAGAAAGAAAGAAAGAAAGAAAGAAAGAAAGAAAGAAAGAAAGAAAGAAAGAAAGAAAGAAAGAAAGAAAGAAAGAAAGAAAGAAAGAAAGAAAGAAAGAAAGAAAGAAAGAAAGAAAGAAAGAAAGAAAGAAAGAAATATGGCATGGACCGACCAGCATGAAGATGTACACAGGTTATTAATGACACCTTGGGTACGAAAGTACAGGAAGCAGGACAAATGGCGAGATACAGAGTCTTTTTCAGGCAGGTCGTGAAAGCACAATGTTCTGCAAAGAACCTGCTACATGACCATGAGAAAGTTAGTTGCTTATCCTTTACAGAACGTTGCAGAACCAACCCCAGCATTTTTTGGCTGTTGTGGTTTTTCTAGGAAATTTTGTCCAGTAGTTTGGCATTTGCTTTCTGGGCCGCCACCTTCTCAATACCACTGTCAAAACCAACACAAGGCCCGCAGCTGGGATCGCACCCCGGCATTTCGAAGCACGTTTGCAAGCCTAAGCCATAGAGGCCGACTCATGAGAATGTTATGGTGGTTATATACTGCAGTAGTAGGTTTTAGCAGTTAAAAACCTCTCTATAGCTAAAATATGTCACGTGGTAGCGTGCTGCATTGTCGGTGATATGTTGTAGAATTATAATTATGAAGTGACGGTACGTGCAGTATTTACGCTTTTTTAGACGCAGTATTTTAACTATATCTATCTATCTACTTTTACCCCACCAGGACATCACATAAGCGATAAACACCCGATGACACAAATTGTCACCATGCGGATGAGGATCACCGTGGAGAGGTCCCAGAAACCGCATTCAGCCCTTAGACCATATTTATGGCCGGGCTATATTGCGGCCCCTGGCAAAAGCCATAGTAGAGCTTTAAATAACGAAAAATTGCATCCCACAAGGGGATGACAGGATAATTAATTTAAATAAACATTGTCAAGGAAAAATAAGGTGCAGCTTCTATTTGATATATCAGGCCACAAATCACTTGTATAAAATTTATTAATAAACAATTCATCACTTGAAACTTCTTCTGCTTCTACTTCAGCATTCCGAGCCCTTGAGGTTCATTGCTACAGATATCACCTGCCTCCACTCATCTCTCTGGTTGGCCTTCTCTTTCCAGTTGGTAACACCAAGTGTTTACAGGTCTCTCTGGACATCTTTTTTGGTCTGCCTCGTGGTCTATGATGATTTATCTCCCTTGTGTATATAGTTTTTACCTTTCTGTCATCTGACATTCTTTCAATATGCCCCAGCCATTTAAACCTATTAGCTCTCATGATGCCGGTGATCAATAGAGATTTAAACAGATTATGAATTTCGTTGTTGCTTCTCACTCTCTATTATCCGAAATTTATATCTTTGATAGTTTCATTTAAACTTACTATATGAAAACAGTACGGGTAAATGACGCCATTGTTGTCCGCCGCTGAATCACGATAGTCGTTTCGTGTCATAGAGCACCTTGATCAGCCATAACTGGCTTTAAATTCCCATGCTGTTTGTTAACTGATGCACTTCAAACTGTAACATTCCACAGACAGAGAAAACCCATCTGTCGGTATTTTCTTGACATATTCCAGCAGACTGACTGTTTCTTTTTCTGGGTATTTCACCTTCTTGCTACGAAAAAATAAAGGACTTTAAAACATTTTTTTCAAGAGCATCGTTCATTCCAGTCCACTTTCACATATTTTCTCCTCTTCCCCATCGAACTTCCTCTCGTTGCTTGACTCCATTTTCTTGTGCATAATGCACTACTCGTAATTTAAATTTATAACGGTAACTTGCTCTCACAGGACCCATTTTTTACTCTTCATAGGAAACTGTTGATTTGGTTTTGGTCACCATGAAATTCTAAGAAAATATGTTTTTTCCTGAAATTATCATCTCAGAAAAGGGATGCACACCCTTAAAACGTGTGCGGCCTGTACAAGCGTGTAAATATGGTAGATAATCTTGGTAATAAGCTGTAGGGGTATGAGCATCTAGTATAGAGGAATAGGAAGGGACAATTTTGAAAGGGAAACAGGAAGGGTGTATTGTAATAAAGAGAACTTGAAGAAATTGTGTTGAAGGGTATAGGAAGTTCATCTTTTTTTTTCCCTGCCTAATGCTTTTTTCAGCAGCAAGGGAAGAGTTCCAATTCCAATGGCATCAGTTGCTGTCTGACTCTGTCTCATCCCTCCCCGGAATGTTAAGCGTCGACCTGTCTTCAGGTAACTCCCTGCAGAGCCATTCTTCTCAGACTGTAATGATCTATCTGTGCATCGACACTGTTCACTCGTTTCCAAAAAGGCCCTCACAACATCTAGCTTGTCATATATCAATTCACCGGTGTAGAACCGGCCAGTCTGTCTGCCGGCTCATTTCCCAACACACTGGCAGAAATGGAGAAATATCCAAAGGATGCTAACTACCCAGGACCTCTGAAGTGATGCTTGCCACTCTGCAAGAAGCATGCTTGTCTTCACCTTTCTTAATATGCTCTGTAAGTCAGTTACAATTACGGCATGTGTGTACATCTGATTTTCAAGCCAGTGGAAGGCAGTAATGACTGCCTCCTTCTCTATTCTCAAACTAAACATTGTGATATAATATGCCAGGCTTTGCTGCACTGAGCAACGTCCATTCAACTTTTCTATGAACCCCCATGCACTTCGTCTGCTCTTTAACACAGAGCCATCAGTACGGATAATCACATAGCCTGGGCGGGAATTGTCATGAATCATTTGTTGAACTTCTGATTCTGCAGCACCAGCTGACCAGTCAAATATATGAGGAAGGGCAAATCAGCTGGACCAGATTAAATAACAGTGAAAGAATTAGAAGGATAAAGGTGGAGTAGAGGTGGTGACTAAAATGTTGATATTTATGACAGCAGATATCTACCTGATGATATACCTGTCTGTACTTACAGCTTGACCCAAGAGGCCAGGGGATGTGGATTGTGAGTTTTTGTGAACAATCAACTTTTAAAATCATATTACCAAAGTTCTGCTAAGAATTGTAATGAAAAAATAAATATGGAAATTAGTCAAGAACAGTGTGATTTTGTGGAGGAAAAAGAAACAAATAATGCAATATGTATCCTAAGAACACTGATAGAGAATTCATTTGAAACCCAGAAGAATTTGCATTTATGCTTTGAAGATAACATGAAAGCATTTGATAAAATGAAACACGAGGAACTTGTCAAAATGTTGACAAAATATGTTATTGATGGGAAAGATCTCAGAATAATTAAGGATATTTATTGGAAGCAAATGGCAGCTATTAAAATAGGAAATAGAATGGGCACATATGAATAGATGAAACAAGGAGTAAGACATGCATAGCAAGATGATATTGAGAGAGATCAAAGATACACTAGGAATGAGAGTGGGAGGTTATAATATAAACAACATACGTTATACAGATGACATAGTACTAATTGCTGAAAATTTAAATGATCTAAACAATTACTGGGCATTGTAGTGAGGAAGAGTGCAAAAATAAGGGTCTGTTGTTGCATTTAAAGAAAACGGAGGTGAATGTGAATGGTTTCTTTTCGTTTATTTCGATGCATTATGTTTGTCTAGTTGCCGGAAGTTCATTGTAATCATTTGAATTACCATGGTAACTTTAAATTTACTATAAATTCCATCTGCTTACAAAGGTGGTGGTTTTTTTTTGTTATGTTAAATCTTTGGCCATTCTTAGTAGTCACTTGTTCAGTGTTCAGTAAACCACACAGAGATCATTGTCTTTGTCAAATATGTGTCCGGAATGAAGCAAATTATGTCCCATAGAAGAAGTGGCTCATTCCTCTTGATTACTCTTGACACCCTCGAAAAAGCCCTGAACTGTGCATGTAGCTATTTTGGTGCATGTTGTGCCACTCTGTTTCCAAGCTGTCTCTCCGTTCGACTGGTTTAAGCCAACTGATACTTACATGTAAATAATAAATACAGTTGAATTTGGTGTACAGAGACACAAGCTCTTTAATGGGTTGTGTTGGAACAGTGGCACAAAAATGTTTGGCCAACAGCAGTTTTTAGTTGGTCCTGGAGATGCTGCATGACCTCATTGCGTTGATAAGTCAGTTTGATGATACTCACAGTCTGGGCACTGTAAATTCTGTTCAGGGTAGGGTTGGGTGTGGTTAAACTATATAATATCATTATATCCTGCTCCTGCGGTTAAGAAACTACCTGCAGTCCAGTGTGAGGGTGTGATATTTCAATATTTAATATATCCAAGAGATATGTAAAAAATTTATACAAAGAGATAAACAGAAGATAAGGGAAACAACTGTAAAATAAAACTCACGGGTAAATCCAAGCATTTAGAGCATCAATCTCTGATCTCAGTGCTTCAGGATACAGGTCCAAATTACGTTGTTCCGGTGTCTTACAGAAGGTCTGGAACTCACTGTTGAGCATTCTGATTATCTCACTGGATTCATTGTTGACCACAGTGCTTGTTTGTTTATCCCATAGACAAGGAACTGTGACATTTCCAGTGTAATCTGAAGTGACCAAAATTTACCTACAATAATGGTATCCATAATGATGGTGATGATGGTTATGGTGACAGTTGTGGTAATGACAGTGATGGTCATGATAGAATGGTAGAGATGGTGGTAATGTTAAATGTTTAATTAAGAATCCACTTCACAGCACTTGGAACACTTCCATAAGTGCTCTGTCCCCATCTTCAGCAACAAGTGAAGAATTCCAATTCCATTGGTACCAGTATCTGTCTGACTGTATATCCATCTTGTCTTTTCTTTGAGTGTTGAGCGTCTGCCAGATCCCCTGGTAACTCCTTGCAGCGCCATTCTCCTTAGACTGTAATGATCTATTTGTGCCTCTGCAATGTTCACTCACTCCCAAAGGGTCCTCACAACAACTAGCTTGTCATACATCAATTCATCACCAAGTGGTGCAGAACCGGCCAGTCTATCTGCCTGCTCATTTCTTAACACACCAGCATGACGTGGAGAAAATATCCAAATGACTAACTACCAAGGACTTCTGAAGTAATGCTTGCCACTCTGCACAGAGCATGCCTGTCTTCACTTTTCTCACCATGCTCTGTGAGTCAGTTACAATTACAACATGTATGTACAGCTGATTCTCAAGCCAGACGAAGGCAGCAGTGATTGCTTCCACCTCCATTCTCAAACTATACTTTGTGATATTATTTGCCAGGTTCTGCTGCACTAAGCGATGTCCATTCACTTTTGCTATGAACCCCTATGCATTTTGTCTGCTTTTGTGGTGGAAATGGTCATGGCAAGGATAACATTTATGGAGATTATGTCTATAACTTTAGTTAGTCAAGGTTCCAACTTCACTGCAGATGAGTTGCCCCATAACTGCTCTGTTTCCAGTGCCTGTAAAAAATCATATAAAATGTCCCTCATTGTCCCATTTGAAAACTAATGAAAAAAATGTCATTCCAAGCAAAAGTTTAAAGCTCACACACCCACAGTAAATACATAAGTCAACCGTCAGATTTGCTAACACTAAGAGTCCCATACCAGTAATACAGCTCACTGTTGATGCAAAGCAGTCAATTGCAAAAGCTGGCATTGCACCAGCAATGCTGTCTTAGTGCATGTCATTTGGAATGTAATCAGCCATATGCCATTTTTAATGTAGTTCACAACACAAATCTGCTGCTTCGTCACAACAGTAAAAAAAAATCCACATGAAATCCAATGCTCACAGTGTCAAACCAAGCACTCACAGCAGTAGCTGGGGGGGAGGGGGTGGAATCTTGGAATTCCAGGTCCAGAAATTTGAAACAGCCTGAGCAAGCCATGGCTAGAAACATAACTGTCAATGTTCAGTTGCATGTCTACCATACTGAAGCCTTAAGCAAATATATACCATAATACCAATAATGGTAACAATAATGGAAATTGCAATGGTGACAGCAACGATGATGATATTTGTGGTCATGATGCCAGTAATGGTGACAATGGATGGTGATTATGTTTGTGCTGATTATGTCAGTAATGGTAATAATACGGATGGTGATAACAATAGCAATATATAGGCCAACTTGGCATGAGTTGGTTGAGAGCCTAAGCTCCATTGGGAGATAAAGGGCAGAAGAAGAAGTTGTAAAAGTGATTAGAATGATACAGGTAGACACTGGAATTAGAACTCTACATAGGCTGTTGAAGATGCGGTTTCTTAATACAATTGGGCAAAATAGACGCAACTTACCCTTAACACTTTTCTCATAGACCTCTCGCAGATAGCTGCATCCATTGACTCTGTCAAGGTCACATTTTGGTTTCTGGAAACAAATGCACAAACCAAAACTGAATATGTTATGTAATGATATCACAATCAACTTCACTGCACATCTCCATTTGTGTTTAGTGCTCTAATGCAGTAGCCACCGCAAGGTACCTCTACTGACAATCCCTAAGAAGTTAATAATAATTTATTCTATCTTGTCCAATGATGCAGCATATATGGGCTTCACCAGGTTTTTTCATAACCTGGTTAGCATCTAAGACCTGTCCTTTCCCACCAATAATCTAATCCATACAGTATTGATATCAGCTCTTTCAATACTTCTGCCAATATGCAGTGGTGCATTGCTTGCCAGTTGGTCTGCTCATTTATCATTCTTTACTCTAGTAGGCTCAGATGTGTAGATCCAGGTGAGAGAGGGCAAGTTTGATGCAATCATGCTGTCAACCCATTTAGAGCATAGGCTGCCTGCTGTGAAATTCTAAAGTTAAAAACTAGTATGTAGATTATTGTACTAAGAGTTGATGAAAGGAGAAGTGTTGGCCAGTGGCCAGCTCACTTACTGTGTAAAATTTAATTTGCTACAGAAATACACAGAAAAGAAAACTAATCTAGTATGCTAACTAGTAAAGCTGTCCTATGGTGTACAGAATGCATGTATGAGGGTTACTGATGAATGTCGCCATGCAGACATCAATGACCAGATAAATGATGACATAGCAAATATGTACATTTGTCTTATTATAAATTAGACAAAGATGATTGCAATATATTGGGCACATATAAGCAGAATTGCAAAAAAGGCACTGAAGTGAGAATAAAATCAACTGAGGAAGCAAAAATTTCCCCCCAAAAAACCACCCTAAAATGAATTTTGAGAGGCTGGGCTTCATTCCATCCATGATATGGGAAAGATTGCTCGACTGACCCCTATGTGACATATTACAGGAAAATAAAACAACGAACATGAACGAATGATTTAGTCAACTAGAGTGCCTAATGTATCAACACATTAATATAACAGTATGTAACTGGATACCTAAAATGCTGTAAAACTTACTGTCTCATTCTGTCCCTAACCCGTATATGTAATTATTTCCTCTTGAATCATACCCCTGAGTCACATGTTTTCTTACCTTATACACTGGGTCAGAGCAAACAAAAGATCACCTTCAATTAGCTACTATTTCCAATGTATTTCACTACACAAGGCAACATGTGACACAGTAGCTGTAGAATGCCCCTATACAAAATATGGTTGAACAGATTGTCTGTATCTTATTCTTAGTGGACTGGTTTCTGAATAGTGGGTTTTGAGTTTCTGGGTGTCAGATCTTCACAGTTAAATTCCCAGAGGGTTAGACACCAGAATACAGTTACAATAAATACTAACACAACGTTGTGAAAATGTAGTAATAGTAGATATTTAAACAACAATATCCAGTATAACTCACCAGGGTTAAAACTAGGATTTTTTTTTAAATGCTTTTTACATATTGGCTATTAAAGCTTATTAATATCTATTAGTTGTTTACTTTTGTTTAGATTGTTTTGATTGTAAACAACTATAGGAGGATAGTTTAAGTTTAATATATTTTAAGTGTACATTTTACACCCTGGAGACATCATAATATCTACAGATTGGTCGATAGTGAGAGGTAAGAAGAATGAGTGGGGTTTTAATGCAAAAGTGACGGACACTGTTTAAAAACAGAGAGCCTCAAGTGCAACGACACTACATCCAGTGTGATAATGGAGGTGGAGGCAGTAATGGTAGCTTTTCGATGGCTTGATAGCAGCATAGTCTGACGTTGTAATAGTAACAGACTCACAGAACATGCTTTAGAAAGTTGAAACATGAACCTGCATGCAGAGGGGCTTGTATCACTTGATAAGACCTGGATCAGGATCATATCATGGATTTTCTGTCCAGGATATTCAGGTGTGCGAGGTAACAAGTAGCACGACAGATAAGTTGTAGCTGCTCATCTGCGTGGTAAGCTACTATGTAATAAAGCAGATATGGTGAAGGCTCCGTGGGATAAAATGGATAGTGCCATAGAATGGACAAAGAATCAATACACTGAAATACTAATTTAACAGAAGGTGTATAGACGATCAGGAAGAAATTCAACATTGAGGGGGAAACAGAGGCGGACTTTTAATCAGGTTGCAACTAGTACTATTAGCATGATGACTACTTGTTGGCTACTGAAGAAGGGGAGGGTGCACATGTGGAATGTCCCGAGTGCCGTGATGTCAATTCTTGATTTATTCCTTCAAGTGTACTTTTTACATAATTATAATAATCATGCTGTGTAATCTTCTTCTCAGCATTCATTGGCTGTAAACTTTGGTGAAAGATTATGTTTCTTCATCCACTTTTAGACTTTTATCAAGTTCCAGAACTTAGTTTTGCATGCACATCCATTTTACATATTTGTCTTGTTTGAGTGCAGACGTGATTCCTTGCCTCGCAAGCAGATGTACTTCTACTGTGAAGTAAACCCCCAGATTCTTCAGACTCAGGTTTGAGTTAGAAGTAGAATGGAGCACTTATAGGTTACACTCGCGTGCCATGATGTTGATCCGTTGAATAAACTAACCATGGGGGAAATTGCTAAATATATTTTTCAGAACATTTAAAGAGATCTAGAATACTAGAAAATGTATAAAACTGAATTACTTTATCTGTAAATGCCCATCCTCTAGATTCCAGCAACCAGTCAACAACAGTGACTGATATGACATCATCAAGACCTTTCAAAGTGCGGACAATGAGAGCTCGATGTGCCCACGGACAAGCCAGAGAGACATACAAGTGGTACCTGTCAGCCTCTGCTTTGAAACCTGATGACCCATCAGCTGAAATCACACAATTTAAAAATGTGAGACATGAGAGGGGAAAACTAAAATGTGACAAATGGAAAGAGTTTTGAAAGAAAGAGAAAAAAAGACAATTTTGAAGCAGTGTAATTAAAGAAATTATAAAAATTAGGCATAAAGAGTCTATGTTTTTGGGCATGTTAGGAGAAGTATGGACTCGAGAACTTTTGTGGCAGGGTTGACAGAAAAGAGGAAAGTAAAAAGATAAAAATCTGAATGGGCTGGCCATATGGATGGGGTGAGACAAGAACCCTGATGTGATCCATTATTCTGGTGATCGTATGAGATGGTAAAAGATGACAGCCTACTCTGATCAACATAGCTCATGATAACGATGACACAGAACTAAAGAGGAGCCTCACCTACGACTGTTAGAGATCTAACCAGTGACCTTCCATTCCTCAAGATTTGGCTGGAGGTTCCTTAATTTCAAAATGTTTTAACATTTGTCAACTGGTGTCAGTAATAACATAAACATAAGTCTACTACTCCTACAAGGGAGTTTTGACATTTGTCAACTGGTGTCAGTAATAACATAAACATAAGTCTACTACTCCTACAAGGGAGTTTTGACATTTGTCAACTGGTGTCAGTAATAACATAAACATAAGTCTACTACTCCTACAAGGGAGTTTTGACATTTGTCAACTGGTGTCAGTAATAACATAAACATAAGTCTACTACTCCTACAAGAGAGTTTTAACATTTGTCAACTGGTGTCAGTAATAACATAAACATAAGTCTACTGCTCCTACAAGGGAGTTTTAAAATTTGTCAAATGGTGTCAGTAATAACATAAACATAACTCTACTGCTCCTACAAGGGAGTTTTAACATTTGTCAACTGGTGTCAGTAATAACATAAACATAAGTCTACTGCTCCTACAAGGGAGTTTTAACATTTGTCAACTGGCGTCAGTATTAACATAAACATAAGTCTACTGCTCCTACAAGAGAGTTTTAACATTTGTCAACTGGTGTCAGTAATAACATAAACATAAGTCTACTGCTCCTACAAGGGAGTTTTAACATTTGTCAACTGGTGTCAGTAATAACATAAACATAAGTCTACTACTCCTACAAGGAAGTTTGAACTCTGAGTCCCAAGGAACGCATCATACGTTCATAGGTTCCTCCTAGAAGCCCAATGAACGCATGATGCACCGATTTTATTACTTTCTTTACTACCCCCTGGGCCTGTGATGCTTAACCCCCTGGGACTCAAAGAGTTAACATTTGTCAACTGGTGTCAGTAATAACATAAACATACGTCTACTACTCCTACAAGGGTAAAATGCACTACACTTGCATGCAAATTTTTTTTTTTAAATACATGATTTTTTGTCAGCTGAGGTGAAAGCGTTTTTGAGAAATATAAACAGCCAATCCTGATGTATGGAAGTTAATTACAGAAAACAGATTAGGGATAAACACATGGATAAATTTTTTGGCTCTACTGGCAAATCCGGACGAAGAATAAACAGCCTTGGACGACTTAGTCAGAGTTATCTCCCGTCGCCGCACTCCAAACAGTGATCGGAAAAGCCACAACGAAACAAAGAAGACAGTCACGTCGACATCAGGGCTGCCAATGCTTGGTTGTTTCCCCCAGATCTGGGTTTTTTGTCGACGCTGCAGGACAAGTCTGGGTGTTTTTTTTTTTTGGGTGTGTTTTGTTTGTTCCTGTTTGCCGATTTGTATGCTTTAATGATCGATAAATTTGTGTGGTTAGGGGGGTAGGGGTTAGGGTTAGGGAGTAGGATTAGGGTTAGCGGTAGGGTTAGGATTAGCGTTAGATTTGACAATTTTGACGCCGAAGTTCCCTATAATCGCGCACAGTCCCATACACACACACAAACAATCGAGGGCCTCTGGATCCTGGTCACACGCACAATTCGCCAACGATTGGGGGCACCAGCCGCACGCTATTGGCGTCTTATTTGGCAGAGTTTCAGTGGCGCCACTCCCACAAACATCATATTGTCGGCCAGTATTTCGAAATCCTACGTCAAAATTTTCACATCTAACCCTACCCCTAACCCTACCCCTAACCCTAACCCTACCCCTAACCCTACCCCTAACCCTACCCCTACCCCTAACCCTACCCCTACCCCTAACCCTAACCCTACCCCTAACTCTAATCCAACAACCGCATGATGATGACTACACAACCATTCACAGTGCCTCACGCAACCGTACGCAACTGTGCACGCAACCATATGATGATGCCACGATGTCTCACGCAACGGTACGCAGCCCTACACGCAACCGCAGGATGATAGGTAAGTGTGTCGTTTGTTTCGTTTGTTTTCCGATTACTGTTCGGAGTGCGGCGACGGGAGATAACTCTGACTAAGTCGTCCAAGTCTGTTTATTCTTCGTCCGGATTTGCCAGTAGAGCCAATTTTTTATATAAACAAAGGGAGAATTTGTCTCTCTGTGAACAGCTTAAATACTAATGATGGCAGCAATGGTACTGAAATTGCATGCTCTGATTGTAGAAAACAGTTACAGCAAGAAGTTCATGCAAGTCATACTCGCTGTTGCCATGGACTGGCATTTCCATGCTTCCTTTATGCACAGCAAAACCACTTAGGAATGGAAAGACTTAAAAGTGGCAGCTACAAGCAACAAACAACATGTTTGATAATATATAGAAGGCTAGTGAGCTAATACACATGCTGTATAATCTCTAGGGATGGAGGGAGGGAGGGGATGGGTGAGATAGGGGGGAGACTTCATTTCTTGGTGGACAAAAGACAAATAGACCCACTGCCTCCTCAACAAGCATGTCATAGGGGTCAACCAATTGGGTGCTTCCTTTAAGTCAGAGTGTGTTTGCCAAAGCAGCAAGGAACAATCAACTGCACATAAACAAGCCAGTAAAATGGATGTACATGCAAAACAAAGCCAAAATCCAAATGGACGAACAATAATGACTTTCCTCTGGAGCTTACAGCCGGTGAACAAAGAAGAAGAAGATATTCTATATAAACACAACAAGAGAAATTGTAACAACAATGGGACTTACCTGTGATCCAGTTTCGAAACTGAGATTCTTTTCTAATAAATGCTCCTTTGCTATCTATGCTTGTCTTCCATGACTGCTTGGCTGCTGGGTCAGCTGTGTCAGGCTGAGGTCCACTGTTTGACATCCTGCCTTTCAGCTTGAATTAAACAAATCAAATATAGTGTCATATTTTCATCTAATGATTATATGTGAATCTATGACAGGTCACCCAAAGTCATAATAGATAAAAGATGTCTTAGGTGAACTGCTGGAGTAGCAGAAAGAAACAAACTTTAAAATGAAAAAATTAAATGCAGACTAGGCCTAGAACCAGTAATACAGTTAATTTAACTCTTTGAGTCCCAGGAGGTTTAGCATCACAGGCCCAATGGGTAGTAAATAGAGACTAAACTCGACACATCATGCGTTCATTGGGCTTCCAGGTAGGAACCTATGAACGTATGATGAGTTCCTTGGAACTCAAAGAGTTAAGAGCAACGTATATGATGGTTTGGTCATCGTACGAGAATGCACTGGTACCACCTACCACAACGAGTTAGGCTTAGGAAATGAAATGTGCACAGACTAAGGAGGAAGACCACACAGACAATGGAAAGATGGCACCAAGAACAGCCTTAATGAAATAAAGACCAACATTGTAAAGAGCATATAGAAGATCTTCACATCTTCCCCAACATTGATAAAGTAACTACAGGGAAGAGAAGAAAGAATAAAGGATTATTAAGATTAGCAGTAGCATATTAATACAATCACTAGCAATGACACCAACTTTAACACTCAGAAACATAAAAACACTTGAACTAACACTCATATATAGACAGAAGGGTCGGGGAATGCTCATGATATTTCGCATTATATCTTTGAAGAAATTTCTCCTAAAGATTAAATCAGTGACGATAATAAACTGTTATACTAGGGTACAATAAGTCCACTTTTACTGACACAACGTTAGTAAGATTGTCTAAATATTCACAGTATAAATTATATCCTTATCACAACTCAGAAAACGTAAACAAAGCAATATTTGAAACAGTAATACAAATTGCATAATTGTCCTAAATAAAAAATGTCACAATATGTAAAAATTAACAAATATATACACTGAGAACTCAATAACACTTTATATACTAATTATAACCAAGAGAATTGAACAGCATATTTTTGTGAACATTACAACTACATGAAACACCTGCCACAAATGTAATCACCTGAGACCAATGCACCGTGCAGGGCTGCCAGTGAATTTTTTTTTTTTTTTTTGGATAAAGCTAGCTAGGCTAAACAAAAACCCAAGCAATACATAAGCAAATATTGTTAAAAAGCACAAATTTTTTAGTTACGAAACGGAATATTTACTCACTTTTATTTTGGGATATTTTTTTTAAAACCCAGATTTCAGAATACCCAATTAGTCAAATAAACCTTAGATATGGGGGTAAAAACTTATCATTGGCAGCACTGCTTGCAGGCTGACACGGAAATCATGTGTTGAATCGTTGAAATGTTCATTGAGGCAGATCTAAACTAAAATAAGGTAAAAATGATCCCAAGGAAATGATTTAGAAGGTTGGCGTTTCGAAATAAAGAAAAATTCGTCCCACATGGGGACGGTGTTTTAGCTAAAAATAAGTAAGTGATTTTTACCCCACCAGGACATGAAACAGCGATAAACACCCGGTGACACATAGGGCCACCATGCGGATGAGGATCACCCGTGGAGAGGTCCCGGAAACCGCGTTCAACCGTCAGGTTATATTGCGGCCCCCGGCAACAGCCCAAGTGGGGCTTCAAAATAAGCAAAATGACATCCTTCCCACAAGGGGATGGCGGTTATAATTAAAGTTAAAAATAATGTTTTGGTAGGTAAGTAGGTAGGTAGGTAGGTATGTAGGTAGGTAGGTAGTTGTACCCCACCAGGACATCACACAAGCGATAAACACCAGGTGACACAAAGTGCCACCATGAGGATGAGGATCACCCGTGGAGAGGTCCAAGAAATCCCTTTCAACCGTTAGGCTATATCTATGCCCCGGCTATATTCAGGGCCACCGGCAGAAGCCAGGGTCATATCCCGTAGTAACTGTTCCATCACTCCACAGGCGCGCTAAGGTGGTGGTAGCGTTAACAATGGGAATAACTGTTCTAGGACGCTCCTACAACTCCACCTCGGGCCGTGACTCAGGGGCCAGCTCACACGCCCTGTAAAAATTTTTTTGCTACTGAAACTTCAGAAAATCACCAGACCTTCACTGAAATGGGACAATGACGTGTTTGGGAAACGAGGGTGTCGAAGAAAAACTTTAAACGGAAGGCTCGTGTTTGTCTCAGCGGTCGAGACCAAGATGGGAATAAAAAGTTCTTTCACTATCCTAGAAGAAATCTGGCAATTAAATCTAGCAATACTTTATATTTTAAATAATATAAAGTATATAAGTTTGAAGTTGAAATTTGAACTACGGATTAACATCATGGCACACGGGTAGTAGCCCATAAGTGCTAATTTCTTCTTCTAACTCAAGTCCGAGTCCGAAGAAGCTCAGCATAGGTTCTGTAGCACTGGCAAAGATCCTGAAATACTTTGTATATAAACAAATACTTAACAAGAGAACAGGTTCTGGTGACTGACAACAGACAATTGGCCTATTAGCTTAGTATTATCAAATCAAGAATTGACACATTTTGAATACAATGGGACTGTTAATGCACATTCGAAATTCAGAGGAAAATTAAAGGTCGAGAAAATCGATTTCACTGCCACGGTTTAATTCTATATCGCTGGGTCTCTCCACCGAAAGGCTAGCCGCCTGCCGAGAACATCTCCAGTGTCGATACCAGTGGGTCTTCGTAAAAACTTTAGTCTTCAAATTAGGCGAAGGAACCTATGGGCTTAGATCCCCTGAGCACCCCCACATCTCCCCCCGAAGGGGACGGAAAAGGGGGGGGGGAGTAGCACTTTGATGAAGGCTCTTATTTTAAACAGGGGACAATGCTTACAGTGACTTCGAAAAGAATGCCAGCCTACATTAATTATATCTCGTGTGTGCGTTTGTTTTAACTTATAATAACAGTCAGCGGGTCAGTGCTTACTTAGTTTCGTGTCTAGGAATGTAAGATGTATGTGTTATCAGGGAGGACTAAATTTGTTTGCTCTTTAGAAATAAGTCAGTTGGTTGAAAAGGGGGGGGGGGGAACAGGAATACTGGCGTGATCGAGATAGTACGTGCGGTGAGGAGGACGTGAGTTGGTGAAGTTATTGAGCCCTATTCCCATGTTTCAAAATTGGGAAGGGTGTGTGTAGTTAGGCTCGCTCTCGCAACCCCCCCCCCCTCCCCACCCTTTCCAATGTTTCGCCCAGAACATGTGAACAGCGGCAGGCGGGGGTGCTGAGGCCCCCTCCATGTTTTTTTGTTCCGGCAGGGCACCCGCTCGCTATCCGAAAGACACAGCCGTGAACCGGACCCTAACTTCAGAGCGGAGGCAAACGGCTTGACAACTTTTTCACGGAGCCTCTAACATATATGATACATGTAATGTAAGTAGTGGCGTCAGGTGGTCAGGTGGTAACCGGTGCAGGAGATGTACGGTTTCCACCCCCACCCCCTCTCTTCCACACACACACATACACACACACACACACACACACACACATATTTTGTTTTCTATTTTAAATACAAGTATGTTGGTCATATTGTCACAATTCCCAGTGGTGACGCCCATGACGGCCAGCACACATTCCTTACGCCACTGAATGTAAACCAGGGTACAACATCCAACTTGACAAGTAGACCAGGTATCATTAATATCGGATTGTGTTTTTTAAAATACCAGACCATCATGATACTGCCGTTTTGCCTAGAAGAAGCTAATACTTGCTTTCTTTATCTTTGCGTTTACGTGTGGCTGTGAAACGAAGTCGTTAATAGCTAGACTCGGAATAAAGATATGAGCATTGGAAATGAGAGCTTTCACAAGAATTATTGGCATTTTATACAGAGACCACATCAGTATAATTATCCGACATATTGGCCTATTAGCAACTTAAAATCTCTTTGAATGGTTTAGATTTAGACAACGAATCAACATCATGGCATAAGGTTAGTAACCCATGAGTGCTGCGTTCCACTTCTGACGTAAGTCCAAAGAAACTCAGCGCAGTGCACGAACTCCGTAACACCGGCGAGGATCCTGAAATAATTTGGGTAGATTTGTAACTCTAATTTTTTTTGCCCGGAAAGCGCAGTTAGGCTATTCTTTTCGATTTCCAATTGCCAAGGGATGTTTTACGTGCGCAACATTACACATCGGCGTCCGATCTTACTACCCAGAGACCAGGGAGGTCTACAGGAAAAATCCAAGTCCTCACCGGGGCTTGAACCCGGGACCTCCTTCACTCGAGACGAAAGCCATGCATGGAGACCACAAAAAGGTGGAAAACGCAATAGAAGGGCCATTAATAAGATCTAACGGCCTCTCTCTTTTAACAAAATACTACAGGGCACAGAAGAGGGAAGAAGGAGATGAGGCCGATCAAGAAAGACTTGGATACAGAGCTTGACTAACTGGACAGGCTTTAGGCATGTAACCATGAATGCAGTCAATCATATCTGACTGCCAAATATGGAGGGAGCTGATCAGACAGTCCTCGTGAACTGGTGACCCATCTAAACGCAGTGTTAGGGATGATGATGAGTTATATGCGTAAACTATAGTAGTAGTAGCAAGTACGTCACTGTGGACGCTTATACAGCAGGAGTCAAAAGATCATAAGCTGTGGTCCCTTTTCTATGGACCACACAGATTTCCGTTCAGTCTGATATTAAGGGCTGTTGTATCTGATCGTCGGCTCTGTGGCTAAGTCGATACGAACGCTTCGTAATGCTGGGATGCCGGGTTCGATCCCAGCTGCGCCCATGCGCCTTGCGATGGTTTCGACGGTGGTATCAAGAAAGCAGACCGCCCAGAAAGCAATGGCAAACTAGTGGACGTAAATTTGCTTAGAAAAACCATACAACAGCCAGGAGCTGTTGGGGTTGGTTCTGCAACATCCTGTAAAGGATACGCAACTAACATTTGCATCTGACTACATAATAAATTGTTTAAAGGAACATTTGGCAAGAGAGCCTC